TCTTCTCTTCTCTTCTCTTCTCTTCTCTTCTCTTCTCTTCTCTTCTCTTCTCTTCTCTTCTCTTCTCTTCTCTTCCCTTCCCTTCCCTTCCCTTCCCTTCCCTTCCCTTCCCTTCCCTTCTCTTCTCTTCTCTCTTTTCTCTTCTCTTCTGTGTCACTAGACAAACATTTACTTTGCATGCCATTCACTGAGCTAAGTTCTGGCTGTAGAAAGAGAAATAAACTACTGTTCCTTCCACTTCAGAAGCTCACAGACCAGCTGGGCAGGCAGAGATGTAAATAAGAAATTACCATACAATATTATTAAAAATGCAGAGCTCTAGGAGCACAAAAAAGGCTCTCTGTAGGAGAGGGCATCCAACTTGGCTTGAAAAGTTAGGGGGTCAAAGAGGAGACCACAGCTGAATCTTAAAAGATGAACAGAACTTTCTATGCAGAGAAGGAGGAGGATAACATTTCAGGAAAAAGAAATACCAGGTGAAAGCAGAGGCAGTAATAGAACTCCAAGTTGGCAGAACAAGCAGTAGGTGAGCATAGTTTGAATGATCATAATTTGAATGGATGTGCATTGAATGTTTGGACTTTGAATGCACAGACAGAAACAGGAGATGAGGCTAGAGGGGAAAGTGAATCAGCTACTGACTGTCCTTTCACCCAGTGTCAAGAAGTTTTAGCTTCATCTTGCAGACAGAGGGGAGCATTGAATTGTTTCAAGCAAGGGAGCAATAGTGATTTTTTCCTTCAGAAAAGGAAGATAGATTGGAAGGGAATGATGCAAGTCTGGAAGTGAAAAAGGTCTGAATAAGCTAAGGGGATGGGGTGGTGGTGAAGGGAAGATAATACATTTCTTTCGAACCTATTACATTTGGAGTACCCAGAGAATAGCCAAGTTAAAATGTCCAGTAAGAAGTTGAAAATATGAGTCTGATGCTCAGGAGAGAGATCTAAATTTAAGAGCATTAATAAGTAAGCACTGAATAAAGCCATGGGAGAGAATGACATTACTTTGGGAGACCATGTAGGATGAGGAGTGAAGGGGCCAAAGGCTGAATTCTGAGAAATATCAATATTTGAAGTTGGGAGGAGAAGTGATACTGAAAGGATAGCTAGGTTGGAAGGAGTTGAGAAGTGAAGGACGGTGGTGAGGAATTTACTCTTTTAAGAAGGTTGAATAAGAAGAAAAGGAAAGAGAGGGATGAAGCAAGAAGAAGCTGCATACTGGATAGAGGTATTTTATTACACCTGCTAGGTGAAAAGGGGTGAAGAAGTCAAAGTTAGAGATAGGAGAGATTAGGGACATTAATGGAAGTGGAAAAAGATAGGAGCAAATGCAAACTTGGAGGCAAGGAAGTTGGGAGGGATACTTATTCTGCCAAGAAAGAAGGAAATAAATTAGAAATAGTTTGACTTAATGGTTCTCACACTAGAATCACTAAGGTAACTTTAAAAAATGCTGATAGCTGGTCTGGACCTTGGAAGTTTTTGTTTTAATTAGTTTGGGATGTGTCCTGGGCGTAGGTATATTTTCAGGCTTCCCAGATGATTAAAATGTGCAGTCAGGATTGGGAACCACTGGTTTACTTTACTTGTAGGTACCTTTTTAGATTGATGATAATGGAAGCTCATACTTGATAAAGTTTGGATGGATAGGGAGTGGTAATGTTTTGGGATAGGTGAGGAAGGGAGAAAGACAAGGAAGTTAAAAGGGAAGTAAATAAATACTTAGCTACTTTCATGGGCCAGTGATGTAGATATGAATGAGACTTGGTCCTGTTCTCAAGATATTAGGAGCTTATGTGAGAAACACCTCACAACAACCTGATGACATACGTGACAGAGTTCTTAACTAGTTAAGGTTTTTTTTTTGTTTGTTTTGCTATTTTATTTCTTTTCATTAAATGTGAAACAAAATCCAATTGTTCCGAAGTACAAACTGGATTTATAAGTATTGAAAGTAGTCTTTCTAAGAAAATGGGTGCTAGGGAAAGAGTTCTAATTATTAGTGGAGATGGAGCTGTCCCTGGTTTTATCTCTAGGCTGCCAGAAGATGGTGGTTCTGGCCTGGGATGTGGTTACGTTACTGGGGTTAGTTGTACCTGGGAGTGGTTGAAATTGCTAGTGACTCACAATGAAAAACTTTGATGGCCATTCTTCTAGGGTGCAACCTCTCTATGCTTGAGCAAGGCACCAAGGATTCCGCTTTCTCAGCAGTGATTTTCACTAGAGTGGAAGACCTAACCTTTGCTGCCATGGTTTGGGCCTGACTTTTGGGAACAGCTTAATCTACATAGGAAGCAGGCACTTCTCTGTAGCTAAGACCTTCCTCTGGAGAGTGTCCATTGCCACTCCTCGAGCCCTTTGCATCTTTCCAAGGAGACTCAACTTTCCAGGGCAGTCTCTGGTCTGCTTGTTCCATCTCTAAGGAGTCAGGCCCATGAGTTGGTAAACCTTTTACTGCAGGTCCTGATTATTGGCTAGGAGCCTCCTTCCTTGAGTAAGATTCCTGAAAGCACTAGGAATCCCCTAGACATGGAACAGAGAGGGAAAGTTTCACTGGGAATCGACAGGCACCATGGCTATGTGGAGGGATTTCCTTCTGTTACCTTATTAGTTCCATTTTATATACAGGAATTAAGGTTTGAAGAAGTTAAGAAACTTGCACACATCCTCAAAGGTAGGAGCTATACATTCAAAGTTCAATCTGCTCTACTCTGTTGTCCTTCAAGCTCCTACCTTCCCTCTGTCAACTGTAGGTGGGCCCCCTTGAGAAAATCCTGGTTAGAGGTCACCTCAATGCCTACCTCCTTTCTGAAGAATTAGGCTAGGTCCCTTGGGCCCTGGGGCACAAGAGCCTCTTCTTTGAGTCTCTCTTTTCCCACTCTGTGAATTAAGAATGTATAAGATACAGGTGGGTTTGCACCCTGGTAGGGTAGAAGGCGATCCAGAGAATTGCTGCATGGAACACACCATACCAATTGGATTTCATTTTAGACCTTTCCTCTGTAATCCAGTGTTTTTGTTTACAGAGATATAGTTGAATGTTTCCAATCTCAACTTCAGAGAAGAAAAAGGAGAGACCAGGTTATTCCAGCTCGATGCCTGATATCTTTTGACATCTTGACTTAGGTTTTGAGCTTTATGTGGGGCCAATCTACAGAATTAAGTAATTCTGGTGTCAGAAGCTCTGTGTACAATTCTTTGGGTCTTGTTGGGTATGCGACACAGGCTAGCACTGTGTGAACATTGTGCACACTAACCTCCTGGATCGTCAGCCAGAGCCATGGCAGCCTGACACTGCATCAAATTATATACTTGCTGCCCATACTGGGGCAGGGCTGAGAACACCCAAAGGCTTCCTTATCATCTTCCTTTACTGTTCCCCAGCTCTCCTAATCACTGTCTCTCATACTCATGGTTGTGGTCATTGCCAGGACTCCCAGTACAGCCCAGTTCCTGGAGCAGTAATAGTCACCAAGGAAACAAACCTGGATGCAGGCAGGAACCTGGGTACCTGAAATGATTCGGCATATTCCATGCAGACTGTGGTTGCTGACCCAAGATGTGGGAAGGAGGAATGAGGAGAGGCAAGGCTTCAGACAAAGGAGAAGGGAAGTGTTTCTAAAGGTTCTCCATCTTTGAAAGGTCACAATGCAGATGAAGATGGCTGTCTTCATCTATAGTCAGATTAGAATGGAAGCAGGAAAGGGATTAGATTGGGTCTCAGGAAAAAACCGAAATCATCAGGGAGGAGCCAAAGAGAAATTCCTCAAACAAGTGAGGAGCACAGGCTGGTCTTCCTTCCCTGGGACTTCTTAATCACAGGGGTGGGAGAAAAGGTATCAGGATTGGGAGTTGGAGGATGTTGAGGTGTTGAGAGGGCCCTGTCCTACCCAGGAAGAAGTGTGCGGCGGTCCTTTTAAAGTATTACTATTCTAGGTAAGTGCCAGGTAGGTAAGTGCCAGGTTGCACAGCAATAATACTATGATAACGATAATCATACTTTGCTTTCATTTTCTCCAAGGGAGACACGGACTTCCTACAGCCTAGACTTTTATGGCGGAGGTCACTCTTGGTGGGTTCAGTCTATTTGCACCAATTCACAAACCCCCGACAGGTTTCTTGGAGGCAGAAATGCCTCAATTATGGCGGATATTTTTAGATGCTCTGTAATCTCTGTATCGTACACTCACCTAACTCGAAGGTATCTGAAACCCCTGGGGCCGAGAGCCCTACCTGCTTAGGGTTAGAGACCCAACAGGCCATAACATTTTTACTCTTGGAAGTTTCCTAGGATAAGGGCCCCTCACTTTGGTCAACCAAACTCTCGGTGCATTCGTCTTCTCCCCACCCCCCACCGCCCAAGGCAGGGTTTCCTTTGTAATTAATCCCAGTGCTCAAACTAGAGGGGAGGAAATAGCGTTAATGAGGGAGCAGACTAACTGGGCGGTAGCGCTCACAGCTAGAAAACAATGTAATTAAATTATTTTTGGAAGCTGAGGGAATATGGTGGAGTTGGTGTCAGGGAAATCCCCGTATGCTTGGGAAGGGGGGACCGTCTCCCGCCACTAATTAACATCAGGGATGATTCCCTTCTCGAGGCCCGGGGTGGCCTTCCGCGTCCCAGATTCCACTGAATTTAGTGTAGCCGGATCTGGGGCCCTGAAATACTGAACATGGCCATCCCCAGAGATCTCGGGGCTCGCTCTCCGACAGTGGATCGGGGAAAGCAGCTGCAGGAGGGCCTCTGGGCTGAGCCAAGTCGAGGAATTCCCCAGGCCTTCGTTAGGGGCCGGGGTCGCAGTCCCGCCGCCGAGTCCCGGGATCTTTGAGGGCTGCAGGCCTCTGGAGGCGGAGGTTGGAGGAGCGGTGACTCCGGGAAGAGCTGGGCCGCAGACAATGGACACCACGGTGGGAGGGCGGCGACGGCAGGAACAGCCGGGAGGCGGCACCGGGAGCGCGCTCCCCGCCCCCTGCATCCCACGCCTAGTCCCCTCCCCCTCCGCCGCCGGCTCTCGATCTGATTCCCGATCCCTGATTCTTAGATACATGGTTCCGCCATGGGTGCTTGAGCGTCCCCCATTGCCCCCGGCCCCCCTGCCCCCGGGCCTTGAGGGGGCAGAGGCAGCGGCCTGGGACGAAGAGGGGGTGACCAGGCTCGAGCCCCCTCCACACCCGTCTGTCCCCACACCCGGGCTGGGAGCGCGGAGTTCGGAGCTACCCGAGGCGCTGCGGATACAAAGGCGCGGAGCCGACCAAGGCGCCCGTGGAGTCCACTGGGCAGGTCACAGCGGCGGGTGAGTGCTGGGTCGCGGGGTGGAGGGGGGGCAAAGTTTCAAAAAAAAAAAAAAAGAAAGGAAGAGAAAGAAAGAAAAGCAGAAAAGGAGGACAGTCATACAAGGAGCCAGGGGGTGCCCGGTTCGCTAGCGAGGCGGCTTAGGGGGGAAGGGGAGCACGGGGCAACCCCCTTCCGGTCCGCTCCCCCCACTGCAACTTTGGGAGGGGAAGGGGTGCGTGGGGAGGGGCGGAGCAGGGCGTGGAAAGCCCGGAACTTCCCAGGTCCCAGGGTCGGGCGGGGGGCCTTAATGATCCGGGGGGAGCCGGTTAAAGCCAGAGAATGGGAGTGTGTGTTGGAGGTAGGGGGAGAGGCAGTGTTAAGGATGGGGTCTGCAGGTATTGGAAGTGGAGATGCTCAGGGTGCATTCACATCTCTAGAGTGTGGGGAGGGCTGGGGAAGGGATGGTATAGGGTGTAAGGTGGAGTCTGGGGAGCCTGGAGAGTAGAGGGTGTGTGTGTGTGTAGCTCGAGGATGGGGTTAGTGGGCTGGAAACCAGGGCATTGGGTAGCAGGCCCAGGAGACAGGCCCCATCATCCCTCTCCCCATTCCTGTTTACCTGTTTGGGGAGTGATGGGCTCTGCAATATGAGTTTTAAAGGATTGGCGGAGGACCAGTGTGCACTATTCTTTGTTTTCTGTGTCCTGCAGGTGGGTTTGGAGGTGTGTTTTTCTGTGCCTGAGTGTGTGCACCCAGGGAGCCGCTGACCATGGATCTGCTGTGTGTTTGGACATGGATTTACATGTACCTTCTAGGGAAAGCATGTGTGTTTGTGTGTGAAGGAGGGAAAGAGGTGTGTAGGACTGAGGAATGTGGGTGTAAGAGCAGAATGGGGTATACACAAATAGGTGTGTGTGCACCTGTGTACTGGGAAGCAATATGAGTGAATCTGCTCTCTTGTGTGTAACCTTTGTGGATGGGTAAGTACGAGTGTGTGATTGCCTGCTTTAGGTGGTGTGTGTTTTGGGGTTACTTATCTCTTGCTTCTGCAGGCAGATTTTCCTGGCAGAAAGCCTAAAGGGAGGGCTGTCTGGAGGATTCTGAGGCTTCTTGGATGTCCCTGCTTGGGTTCAAGGGTACTGCCTTAAGCATCTCAGACCTATATAGGTGACAGTAAGTGGGCTGTCTGATGAGGGGCCTGTTTTGGGAAGTAGGTTTTTCTAGAAAAGGATGTGTATTGAGAGGAATAGGGAAAAGGGGTTTTGGTTGTAGCCCTAGGGAAATCATGGATTGGAGGAGTCCAGGAAAAGAGTAAGAAGGACCACTGCCCTTTTCCCAGTCATAGGTTGGGTTCTTGTGCTTGCAGAGGCTACAGTCTTGGCTTTCCAACCCAAATTTGCACCACCACCCACCCTCACCCCCCACCCAGGTCGTAGTTATCTTGGAAAGCCATCTTGGAGTTTCTGCTTCAGAACCCATTAACACTGCTTGCCTCCAGGATATAACAGTTCCTGAGGAGTCTTGGAGTTTGAAATGGATGGAGGCAAGAGGAAGGAGCATGCATGCTGGAGGGATGAGACCTGGTGCCCAACAACTTGGGTTTCCCTCCATGGGGTTGAGAAGGTTTCCTGTTTCACTGGCAAGAAGCATGATTGGATGGGGCTCTGGTCTGTGGCAAGGTCTGAGGGTGAGGAGTGAGGGTTGAGCTGCGAGAGGGCAGGTGCCTGAGTTGGGGAAGGGGCAGGTACCCATGTCCCATCATCATGATATTACAATGGGAAGTCATATTGTCTGGGAAGTGAATGTATCTCTTCCAAAAGAAGCAGCAGCCACTTGCTTTCCTCCTCTTTCTTGCCTTTTCTATTTTGGAGGGAAGGGAAGGGGGTGGCCTTCTCTTTTCAAATGCTCACCTCGTTTGCCCATGTCACTCTCTCAGCCATTTTCCTCTTGCTGCCAGAAGTCAGGTCAACATACCCAGTTTTAGGAGCTGAGACTGTGATTGGCCATTAGGGTCTCTGGGGAATTGGATTGGAATGTTAGTGTCCCTAATGGACACAGGTAATTGGAATGTTCCTTCTTTAGTCCTCAGGCTTCCCACCATTTCCTAAGACCGGAGGTAAGAGTGGTGGCAATTAGAAAATGTTGCGTTTGGGGGTAGGGACAGAATAGGAAAAGACTGGATTAAAAAATGCATTATTCCGTCAAATCCAACACCTGTCAGGTGGGTAGGACTCCGGAGGCCAGTGTGTGGTTGCATCTAGGACAGTGTGCTCTGGACTTTTGGCACCTTGCTTGCTCAGTGCATTAATTCATGTGTGTATACTGCTGGGGCGCTCTTCCAAGAAGGAGGAATTGTGGCCAGACAATAGGAAGTGCCATTTCTACAAGTACTTCCAGATTGGACTCTGGCCACATGCACCCCTCCTTCCCCATTGTCTTGCTTCTGCTTCTGTTTCCTCTAATTTTTCAGGGGCAGGCCTCTGTTGTGCCACCTGTCTATGCCTTCTGTTCCTTGGAGGTCTGAGGAAGTGCCCTGTTCCTTGGATGGAGAGCAAGACAGACTTATCTACTCATCTGGTTTCTAAGAGGTCCTTCCAGTTAGAAGAGTTGTGGACTTGGTTAACAGAAGCTTTGGAGGGAAGAGCTCTAGAACTCCCCTCATTTCCTCTGAGTTTTAGGGACTCCAGTTATCTCCCTAGCTCATTCCTCCAACAGCTCCCCACACTGTGAGGTCTAACATAGTTGGTTGGATTTAGGACTTAATAGTGGTGTGACGTTCAGGTTTAAGAACCTCATTTCTCAGCTTGTGTCTTAAGATACCATCCTCCAACTGCAGATAGGGCCTTCCTCAAGGAATTTCAGATCCCCCCAGTGGCCTCCTTCCCTGGGTTCCAGCTGCTCTTTTATTCTGTTTTTGTCATTTCCTAGTTCTGTGACCTCAAAGAAAAGTAGATAACTTTTGAAGCCTCCCCTGTAGAATGGAGTTAAAAATAGGCCCTGCCTCTTAGGTTTATGAGTACTGAATGAAGTCATAAATAGAGAATATATCGCACAGTGCCTGGCACATGGGAAGCACGCAGTAGTAAATGGTAGCATCTGTGGTTTGGGTTCTGCTTGAGGATTGGTATGGAGAGAGTTCTGGGCTGGGGAGGAGAGCTAGGCTTTGGTTTGTTGGGCACTATCTGCCAGGTGTTGTGTGAAGCATGAGGAATGGAGGGGCACATAAGGCAGGCTTTCACAGTGGAGACATGTGTAAACATGTCACTTCACTTAGCCTAATGAGTGCTGTGTGGAGGTGGGTTCCGGAGGCCATCAGAGCATAGAGCAAGAATGCGGGCCCTGGGGTGGGTGTCCAGGAAGGTACACAGAGGAGATGCTTCCTGAGCTGACTGGTATTTTTTTTTTAAGTTGAGATAAAATTTACATAACATAAAGTTAACTATTTAAAGATGAATAGTAGTGTTTAAGTGTTCTGCAACTATGGCCTCTGTCTAAAATCATTTTCAGCACCTCTAAAGGAAACCAGTGCTCAGTGAACAGTTCCTCCCTGTTTCCCACCATCAATCTACATTCTGTTTCTATGGATTTACCTATTCTGGATACTTCATATAAATGGAATTATCCAGTGTGTGATCTTTTGTGTCTGGCTTTCTTTACTAACTGTAGTCTTTTTAAGGTTCATTTAGCAGGTATCAGATTTCCTTCCTTTTAATGGCAGAATTGTATTCCACAGTATGGATTGCTCTCAGCCTCATGTAAAGGATGAGTTAGGCACACAGTGAGGGGACTAAGCAAAGTACTGCAAGGAGAGGCTCAGCCAGATCAGGGGTGTTGGTGAACCATACACAGTGTGGTATTATTGGATCCTGAAGTATGCCTATAACTAAGTCCTATGTGGTTGGTGGGGATGGAGGAAAAAGGAAGAGGAGAGGCTGGGATGTTACTGCCTCTTCTCAGGGTCTGGATGGGATGGAACTTTTAAACTCACTCTTTTCTTGGGCAGCTCCCTCCTGTATGCATTGACCCTCATCTCTTTGGTTTCCCATCTTCCTGTTTTAGTAGGTGTCAACTTCCCTTTTCTCTTAATTGACCTAAAATTTCTCTTCTTACCCTCTCCAGATGCGTAACCTTGTGCTGCTGGGGGGTAGATGTGAGAGACCTGGGAATAAATGCTAACCATGCCTGCTCCCAGTAGCACACACCCCTTCTAAAATTCTGACTTGGTGACCTGACTTGGGTAGTGTTCTGTCATCTTATTTTTTTTTCTGTCATCTTATTTTTGTGATCTGGTGAGCAATGAGGTGCATCAGGGAGAATCTTGCCATCCTTCCCTCTACCCTGCACAGTACAGAGTAGAAGGCAGAGGCCTGCCTTGGGGACAGGTGGTCTTTGGAAGTTAGGTGCTGCTGTGTTCCTCCAATGCCCCTTGCAAGGTTATTAATTACAGATGTGACGGTTGGGAATGGGCTTGGGAGAAGCAGGCTTGAAATCAGCATAGCTGAGGATATCCTGGTAATAAGGGAGGGGCAGTGAGAGAGAGGAGTGGGAAGAAGCTGGAGGCTGGGGTGGGCCAGGAAGCTTGGGGTACCCTTCCCCTGCAATTCCACACAGAGCTGAACTTAGTGCCTGTAGGAGAGTGAGAGGTGTTTCAAGCATAGGCCCTGCTTCACTGTAAGTGCTAGGAGGGAGGGGAAAGAGAGGCTGGGGACCCGGGACCCCCTGGGGAAAGAGGCAGAGAGAGGAAGAGAGGTTTTGGCTGCTCTCTTAGGCAGCACCTGGGTGTAGTCTCAGAGAGAGACTGCCATTTGGGGGCTGGGGCAAACACTGTAGCCAAAGGTGATTCCTCAAATTCTGGGTGCGTTTTTTCTTCTCACAATGAGGCTGTGGGAACAGGAAGGTGAGGGGATTGGCTGTTCATTCTCTAAAGGATGGAACTAACATTTTATTGCGCATCTATTACATGCCTGATTCTGTGATTTTCTATATACATCATTTTGTTGAAAACTCTCAACCTTCTGAAGT